TTTTCGCAAGAGCGCTATTTTTTAAAATCTTTTTTCTTCATTTTTTAACGAATCATTTCATTGGCTTATCCATGGAGCTATCCAACGACACTTTGGTCCGCTAATATCTGACGGAGAAATCAAGTTTTCGCAAAAGCGCCATATGTTTAAACCTTTTTAAACATGTTTTGAATACTTCCGGTGTGGAGATTACTGTCGTGGTAGTTTTAATAACCGGTTTGGGCACTTAAATAACCGTAGGGCCATGTTATGGTTTATTACATTATCTGATCAGACAAAAATGCACCTGAGAAATACTATGTTCAAAGGTGCCAAAAATGTCAAAATATCGAAAATCAAATTTCAATAACTCAATACATATTATACATCTTTAAAATCGTAATTACATCAGCTATCTGAATATGTAACTTTTTTTTGATACGACAATGATCGTAAAACCGGAAGTAGTCGAAAAAATGTCCGATATTTTGAAAAAAAATTTTTTTTTACGAAAACCTTTTTAATTTTTTTTTACGAAAACCTTTTTTATTTATGAATATTTTTTTATGGTATTTTACACAGGGTTAAAATACCATCAAAAAATATTCATAAATAAAAAAGGTTTTCGTAAAAAAAAATTAAAAAGGTTTTCGTAAAAAAATTTTTTTTTTCAAAATATCGGACATTTTTTCGACTACTTCCGGTTTTACGATCATTGTCGTGATAGCTTTATGAAGTTCTTTGGATACTTAACTTTCTGTACCAGAAGTGTCAGAAACATCCAATGAGTAGTTTTGGAAAAAAAAAGATAAATCAAAGAGCGTTTCCAAAAATTTAACGATTTTTCAATTTTTTTCAAAGTTTGAGGCCATTTTTGGACCACCTATATTATTTCAATGCTTTTCATTTTGGATTCACTATATAGACAACCGATAGGACTTTGAGTAAGAAAAGTTTAAGAAAAATCGTAGGCGTCGTGTTGGAGAAAATGGCGTCTCAGAATGTTAAAAAATCGGAAAATACTAGATTTTTCTTCATACAATAATTTATTTCCTTACCATCAAAATCGTATTATTTAGATACCATATGATGGTCCATTAATAGGGCTATCCAACGACACTTTAGTTCTTTTGGTCCGCTATTACCTAAGGGAGAAATCAATTTTTTCGCAAGTGCGACAATGTTTTTAACCTTTTTTTTTTCATTTTTTGAATACTTCCGGTATGGTTATTATTGTCGGAATAGTTTTAATAGCCGGTTTGGGCACTAAAATAGCCACAGGGCTCTGTAATGATATATTACATTATCTGATCAGATAAAATTCCCCTGAGAAATCCTATGTTCAAAAGTGCCAACAATGCAAAAAAATTAAAATATCGAAAATTAAATTTCAATAACTACATACATATTATATATCGTTAGAATCGTAATTAGGTTAGCTATAAGAATATTCAACCTTTTTTTGAAAATCTCTTAAAATAAAAAAATAGTAGAGCATTTTCCAAAATTTCACGATTTTTCGACTTTTTTTCGATTTTCAGTCCGTTATTTCACCTATTCCAGATATTTCAAAGTCGTAATGGAATGCTTCGTACACAAGACTACCACAAGGTCTCTCGATAGAGAAAGTTTCATAAAAATCGCTGGCGTAGTTTTTGAGATACAGGCGTCCAAAAATGCTAAAAATCAGAAAATACTTGATTTTCAGCGTGCCATATTTTGCTGCCTGATCATAGTATCCGCAGGAATTGGGTATCATTCAGTGGTCCAATCACCGCCCGACTAAATGATACCTTAATTTGTTTAATCCGTTGATATCGTACGGAGAAATCGTGTTTTTACCCAAAACACCAATTTTTCACGTTTTTTTTCAAAATATCGCATATTATTTCGACTACTTCCGGTTTAAGGATTCTTGTCGAAATTGCTTTATAAGTTGGTATTGGACGATAACTTCATGTTCCAGAAGTTTCAGAAACGTCAATTCTGCCATAAAACGAAACCCGAGCTCACAAAATGGGAAGAAAATTCGAAAATAATCGAAAAATAAAGGGCGATAACTCTGAATAAAACTTATATTACTGGAATCGGATGGACTTCAGGTATCCAAAAATGTAAGTCAAATTTGAAAATTTTGAAAAATAACAAAAATTGTCTCGTAAACAACATGTTTTCAATTTTCGAACGATAAAAGTCATAGACGAATGTTCGAAATTGAAAAATGTGAGATAGCCATTGTCTCAGAAAAGATTCAGGGATTCCAAAAATGTAATTTGCTTGAAAATGGATAAAGAATTGACGAAACTATGGCCTATTTTCAATTTTTAGACAACGTACAAAGTTCGGTCACTTCCGGTATGCGCAGAAATTTCAAAAATATTTTATCAAGTAGCCACCACATGGTTTCCCGATAGAAAATCTAATTCCAGATCGATATCTGTTTTCGATCATGGAGATCTAGGCTCCCGCGGTAAATAATAATAATAACTAGAACTGCGAAGCAGTAATGACGGGTTTCACCGGTGCCACGTTACCCTTGAACTTATGTCACTTCCGGTACCAATGAAACCGTTAAACAGGTTTCCACATAAGCATTGCACACATGAAATAAAATGGACGCAGAAACAACCAAATCCAGCAATCAATTCATTTGCTACATGTCAGTGATCCTGTCAAAATTACATTACTTCCGGTGATAATGAAAATGTTAAATTGGTTTATGAAATCAGAAATAGCATCATCACATGGTGAAAATTTTATGTAAATCCTATAATAATTGCCACTTTTATAGACCAAAAACCTTGAAAAATGACTTGTAGAAAATCGCCTATTTCTCTGCAACCATACTAGTTATAAACCATTTTGAGGTATCTGTATGATCGAATGAGTTCATTCTATTTGTTGATTGGAATCAAATATCATAATTTTAAAAACATTACAAATCTGATTCATTTGAATAAAATATCTGTTTTGAAGGCTAAAAATACAGTTTTTGCCAAAATGACGTTACTTCCGGTGATAATGAAAATCTTAAATTACTTGTATGTATGGCAAAATGTATCACACAGTGAAAATTTCATGAAAATCGAATAATAATTGACACTCTTATTGACAAAAAACCTTAAAAAGTGACCTGTTGAAAATAGCTTATTTCTCCGCAACTGAACAAGTTAGAAACCATTTTGTGATATCTATATGATCGTAAGGGTTCATTGTATTAGTTGATTTGAATCAAATATCAAAATTTTAAACAAATAACAAATATGACTCATTTGAATAAATACAATTTTTGCCCAAATTACGTCATTTCCGGTGATATTGAAAATGTTAAATTGGTTTGACCTAGTTAAAATTGACATTACACATCAAATGGTGTCACTTTTATGAAAATCGAATAATAATTGACTCTTTTACAGGCAAACTAGCGTAAAAAGTGACTCATGCAAAATTGCCCATTTCTCGGCAACTGCGCATATTACAAATTAATTTTCACATACATTCTCTCCGTATAGATTATTGCTACGAGTTTATGAAAGTTACGAAGTAATATTTAAAAATATGAAAACGCTGGATGGGTTGTAAATAGCTTAATTTTACACCTTTTTTTCACCTTTTAATCGAAATAGCCCGAAAACGGAATCGAAATTAAAAAAACTGGTCCCAGATTTGAAAAAAATAATATTTGCTTTCGAAAAATGGTACCTAACTGTCAAAATTGTAGTTTTTTGTCAATTTACGCCACTTCCGGTGCCGACAGATAACACTATTGGTAACAAAAAAAATGACAATTGAGACAACGGAGCATATGAACTTTGTTTTATACAAATCGAACAATAAATAATTAATCTAGGACTGAAAAACTGAATTAGCCAATGGGGGCCAAGGAAAATTACCGAGACAAAAAATTTTCACATTTTTGCCCAAGTCAGAGGACTCGTTATATTTGTGTAAAACACGACTAAAAATGGGGGCCAAGGAAAATTACCGAGACAAAAAATTTTCACATTTTTGCCCAAGTCAGAGGACTCGTTATATTTGTGTAAAACACGACTAAAAAATATTCATAAATAAAAAAGTTTTTTGTAAAAATTTAAATTTTCTAAATTTAGCGCCTAATATCTGCGAAGATTTGCCGAAAATCAAAAATCAAAAGTAGCGTAGCTATGTGCCCCGTCTCCGGCTATGCCAAAATGCATCGAAAGTTAAAATCCAATGATTATTGTTAAAATTACTGCAATATTTCTAAAAACGATAGCTTCGGTGATTTCGGACATTTCGCATTGTCGCAGAACGTTCAAAATAGCTTTAACCTCTAAGTCACACCCACTTTTCCGATAAAACCGAAGAAATCGTAACGATCCGACAATCAGTTGCTGAGATCTACTCAAAACAAAAGAATAATAATAGACGAAAGTCTGAAAGCCTAATAATAAGAAGAAGAATAATAATCTTAACAAAAACAATAGTGTTTCACACAAGCTACGCAGTGTGAAACCCTAATAATTTTAACAAAAACAATAGTGTTTCACACAAGCCACGCAGTGTGAAACCCTAATAATATTAATCTTAGTAATAACAATAGTCTTTCACCGAAGGTGAAAGCCTAATAATAATATTAATCTTAGTAATAACAATAGCCTTTCACCGAAGGTGAAAGCCTAATAATATTAATCTTAGTAATAACAATAGCCTTTCAATGGTGAAAGCCTAATAATAATTTTAGTAATCTCAATAGGCTTTCAGCCTAATAATCCATGAAGTTATGGTCCGATACATGCCAATATCGAAAGGAACCAAGATCCTTGGGAGATAGCCACATATGTTAACTTTCGTCAAAATCGGATAAAAATTGTGACCTGTAGAGTGTCCACAAACAACTTGTTGACGGACAGGCAGACACACGGACGGACGGACAGGGGCGACGACTAACAGGGTGACGGCATAGTACGGCCACAACTCTTGCGAATATCGATGGGATCCGGCAGTCCAGACTTTCATTAGTGCTGGCTATATTAGTATACCTGTAATAATTCCTGAGCTAATTTGAATTCCCCTTCTGTTAAACCTTCTTCACCTTCATCAACTAACATTGATGCTCCAGCCATTTCTTTATTCATTATATTTTTCACTAAAAATAAAAAAAAACCAAAAAAAACTAGACTCGTCAAGATGACAACTTTGATCGTTTTTATACCACATTATCCCACACTTAAACATTGAATACGATATTTAGTAAAGTAATGTGCACATCGTAAAATTGAAAAAAAAACCAAGCGGTTGCCATGCAAGATATGCCAATATTTTGTAATGGATGGACACAGAACAGGGAAAATCCATAGGACTCATCATCTCATTGTTTCAATGCTTCACATCAAGTGAGAAATCAATATGTTACAAAGTGTAGCCTCTATGACCATCATGAGGTTTTCGGAAAGGGGGATAACTTGGGGGAGGGAGGGAATCTAAAAACTTAACACATATTTAGCATTTTGCATAACTCTAGCATGGAAGGTCTGGTCCACACCAAAATCATTCATGATCTTTTGATTCTGAACTACTACCGACTGTGGAAAACCGCACTTAAATTGGATAAAAAATAAGTGTCTTCTTTGATGTCCAAAATTTATAGATTTTTGTCTATGATACGTCAACCCGAACTTTGGAGAAAATTTTGTGTTCTTAGTCCACAGTCTTTTAACTTCAGCCATGTTTTGCTAATCAAAGAAGACTAAGCTTATGCAGTGACAATCCTTTTAGTGAAAAATTTTGTATCAACAAGACATTTTTTTATTATTTCTTTTCCTTGCATTTAAGAAGACTTCAGTAATCCCTCTCGTAATCAAAATATCAAAATTCATTTGGCTATGGAATTGTTGTATTTCTTAAGTTGCTAATATCATTAGAAATGTGTGAATCTGCTGATGAATGATTTTGTGGTGTGATTCTGATTATTCATTTTATTTCACGATTTCAATCTGGTCAATTGTCACAAAATATTGCCAATTTATCTGATAATTTGTTATAAAAATAAATATCACAAACAAATATTACAATGAACCCCTCCCACGTGTATGACGCTATTGCGTGTCACATGTGCAGCTCAGTGGTTCTGTTGGGACGATAAGTTCTTCATCTGTGAACATACTCTCAAAGCATATCAAGTGTCCATGACTATTTATCATATCACAACCGGCATAGATATTTGCATTTCAATACCCCTTACTTTTTAAAGGGTATATGTTTCAATTATTTGTACTCCAAACAATCTAACTACTGTTTTCAATTTCTGAAATTTGTCAATACTTTTATGAATTGTGCATCTAGAGCGAATGAAAGAAGGTTACGGTCGTAACGTGAAACATTTTTTTTTACATTTTGGTTTCTATTTCTATATATCATGGCTAATCGTCGCAACAATAATTTCGCAGTCGTCAGGATTTAAAAACACAATTTCTAGAAAGATTTTCTGAAAATAAAACTCCTTATGGGTTGCATCAGGATTTCCAATCTTTCAAATATGATCGTCTTCAGCTCCTGCTGAGAACCTTGAAGCATTAAAAACATTTTGAAATCAACTGGAAGTCAGTCGCGCACAACTCAAGCATGAGTTCATTTCAGTTCTCCCCACAAATTGTCAGCAGGCTATGGCGATGACCACTTCTGAAAACACTTCACTAGCTGATATACAAGCTAAGGTTCAATGTCATTTTGATGTTTACAGTAAGACTTCAGCTGTAACATCTAAAGAGGTCTCCTTCGCTACCTGTAATCTTTCTTCTATTCGTGAAGACCTAGATGTCTTGAAGCTGCAGTTCGCATCTAATGAAAGATCTAACCGCCGATCTACAAGCCAACATATCAGACAGAATTCTCGAGGTAGTTCAAACTCACACAGTCCACACAATTCTCATAATAGATATGACAGTCCACACAGATCTCTTTATTTACATAGATCACGCCAAGATCGTTCTTCACCTAAGCATTCAATACACCCTCATAAAGTACGAAACAAAAAACCTGATGTGTTATGTAAAATCCTTTTTACGGATAAACATATACAAGACATTGGATTGAATAGAATCTTTAGAGACCGATCAGTAATTAAATCTATACCAGATACTATTCCTAAAATTTCACCCACAGTCGTATACAAATTTTTACCTCTAATCCGTAATAAAATATCTAACTACCATGAAACTATTGAAAACCTTAACGCACAAGAATTTATTGACAATTACGATAATACAACATGTCTATGCGCCAACTCTCCTTTTAAAGATGAGTTTCATGACCATATACTGACAGGGAACTTCGATATTGTTGAAAATAAAAATCTTAAAAACCTTTTCTGCTTTGGACCACAATTTCGAGAACAACCCAGTAAAACTAATTTCAGAAAGTTACATAATAATCTTAAATCTCAAATCAGAAAATGTATAGTAGCCTGGTCTGATAGATTTCGTGCACCTCTAGAATCTTTTGGAGAATGGAAAAACAACAATAATAACAAAAATAACAATACATCTGCAGTTGAATGTCTTACTACTCTTCAAGAAAGATTTGTTTTAACGCCTGTCGACAAGGATAGCAACAATATTACCTTTACCTGTAAAAAGTACTATCTTAGAAGAAATATTCTTACTGAAGTTGGAATTTTGCCCAATACTAAAAATGACACTTATAAATGCATTACGGATTTAACTAAACTAGACATTTTATATAATCAATACACTTTCAACAGGAGTAATGGTATTAGAGACAATGTTAAAATAGATGCACTACCTTACATTTATTCTATACCTAAATTCCATAAAAAAAAACCCAGTAACATTCAGGTACATAATACCCCCCAGTAACTGCCAAACAAAACCATTGGCTAAAACAATTACCAAAGGGCTTAAACTATGCCAAACCCAACATGCCATTTAATGCAGAACACTTCGCAGTTATACTGGCATTAATAGTTTTTTCATAATTGATAAAAATAAACCCATCATAGAAACTTTAGACAAAATCAATAAAAAACTTTAAAATGCAAAAACAATAGACACTTTTGATTTTTCTACTTTGTGTACTATGCTTCAACATTCAAATCTTAACGATAATTTGGATTGGTTTGTGGATAAAGCTTTTAATGGAGCTTTCGGGAAAGGCAGAAACTTGATAGGCATTTACTCAGAAGGTGCTAAATGCATTATAAAACGTCGCAATGCCGACACTATAGTTTTTGATCAAGAAAATACAGCAGACTATTGGTTTACCAATGGGAACTGGCCCCGCCCCATTTATGGCATACGCACATTTATATAAAAATGAATTCTGCTTTCAGGATCATAAACGAACAACTGATTAGAAAGTAGCTAAAAGTCTAAACTATACCTTTCGATACATTGATGACCTAACACCTATCAATGATAAAGGTACTTTCAACAAATATAAAAGTGAAATTTATCCCCCGGAACTTATATATTAAATAAAGAAAATTGTGGCACTATAAATGCATCTGTTGACCTGGATATAAAAATAATTAACAACAAATTTAATGTTGGTATTTTCGACAAAACGGACACATTCGGCTTTGAAGTAGTAAAATACACGTCAATTTAACAGTAACATACCAGATACTACGCTATATAGTGTTTTCTATTCACAAGCATTACGATTTTTGACCATATGTAACGATAAAGAACTATTTCGTTCCAGAATAAAATCTCTTTATTTTAAGTGCACTGCCAAAGGCGGTACACAATTACTCATTTTAAAATAAATTTCGAAACTTCCATTTCTTCAACATACCAAGTTTGACATTTCTTATAAGTATATTAGTATTACCGACTACATATTGGATGATGATCCAATTTAATATTTATTTTATATTTTCTGTAGTTTCCTAATCCTATCTTGATTATCGCCCATTTTATGCCTTTTATAAATACACGTTTATGGTACGATTTCTTCAGCATAATTTAGTTCAATTACATAGCTGAATAATTCCGATAAGTTCCTAAATCGATAGCTTATTAACCCTTTGGCGTTATCTTATCTGGATAATCGCCAATTTTATTGTGGTGTTTATTACATTTCTTAAACTTTGACGTCATTGGCAACCTACCGCCTTTACATCACGTCATTCAGTCATCAGACGGCTGTCTTTCGAGACGGTTTACATTTTCTCTTCTTTGTATTCAGTATTGTTTGTCTTTTACTCTGTTTTTGTGTTAAATGGAACATATGCCCTAACTATAATCAATATACCTCGATTCCATTGAATACTTAAAATGTTTCTCACTTAACTTAGTTTTTAGACTATAGATAATGTTTTACTTCAATATGTTTACATGCGTATTTCTTGTAACATATAGCAGATCTTGACTCATGCTGGCATTACACAATGGTGTCTCTGGGTTATAATCCTATTGTTTTCAAATTTGAGTGAAGTCTGTATCACTACAGGCCCGGGACTGAACATCACAGCCCCCGGATCCATTCACTTAATTTAATATATTCGTTTGTTTGATTTCTGCTTATTGTGTCTTGTCCATAGATTTGTTTTTGTGTAAATTATGTGTGGTGCAGTCCTCTTGCACTTACTAGATCGTTGTTGATAGTTCGCAACAAGATTCCCACCCCCCTAGTAGATACCAGGATTCCAATAGGGTCAGAATCCGACATATTATCATAATTAAAGGAGCTAAATCGCTAATATTTGGGACCTAGAAATTGACACAAATGGGTCACAACGTATATAATAATGTAATATGAATGTACATAAACTGGTTTAGATTCAATCGTTTCTGTTTTTATTGTAATTTCTAATCAGTAGTGTTCGACGAAATACGCCAGAAATATCAATCGAATGACAATCTCTAGCGTCTGGTTATTCCAGTCTACACCGAAAGTATTTATTAGGCATGTTCTCCAGATACGAATAGGGCGTCACCGTTTGACATGACTTGTCTAGCCTTGGTCTTCGAGTCCGTTGTTACAAATGGCCCAGAAACGCATTATGGTACACGATTCGTCTACCAATGGTAAAATGTTTATTTTGTATTAAATATTGGATATCAGAAGCTCATCTTTTCCCAGTAAGATCACAACATCAATGTTGATTTAAATTGACAAATAATT